GTTTCCTCCTGGCACCATGCCCAGGCACATCCCTGCCGTGCCCCCGAGCCACCCCCACCCCGACTGCTCCAGCCAGGGCTGCAGGGGCTGCCCCTTCAGCCTCACAGGCACGGGGCCGGGCAGCTCCCATCCCCCACCATGCCCCTTGGATGCATATGGCCGCTCCGCACCCAGCCCCATGGCCACGGGGTGACATCAGTGACATGACCTCACACCCTCCTCCTGCCTCAGCTGTGTGATTGTGAGTTATAGTGATGGGGACCTCACACCCTCCTACTGCCATCGCTTTCTGCTCAGGATTTACACTGTCACACGTGTGTGTCTGTGCTGTCTATGGGATTCTGCTGATGATGCTTCTTCCAAAAAGCCATAGCTGGGGGGGTGTCTGAATATCCTTTTGATGACATCAGAGCACCCACACAAGCTGTACGCCTGCTCTTGGCCTAGAAGCTCTTCCAGCACCCATGAAGTCATGAGCATGTACACAAGCCATGTGTGTAACCCTGGCCAATCCCCCACTCAGCCACAGGTGATGTCACAACATCTAAACCTGCCTATCAGCCACTGGGGCAATGGTGACTTCACAGGCACTGACACAGCCCATGGGCCCCTTCCTGGCCTATAAGATAATTGGTCACAAAGGACCTTGCAAACACCTCTACAAGAGAGGTGCTTACTCCTGGCCTACTGGCTTCTCAGGCACTACAAAAAGGTTTTATGGCTATCTATGTTTACTTCCTAAAGGTGTAAAAATGTTTATGTCTATATAAAAATCAATTCATAAATGCATATATAGAAATGTATATATAAATATACTGTACTTTTAGTAATAAATACAATATGTATCTGTGTTTGTACACTTAATTATAAATATATATATTATATAAACAAAAACATTTTTATATCTGAGGACTTTTATGGACCAAAGGCTGAGGGCAACCAATTGCAAATGCTGCCTAAGAACACATGGGTATGAAGATGTCACAAAATGACTGTCAGCCAATCACAGTGCAGGATGAAAAGAGGTGGGGAATGAGGCTGTCCAAAGTGGCAGCCTCCCTGCAGGAAATGACAGGGGGCTTCCTTTGTGATGGGCCCCAGGGACATTGGGACGGCAGCCAGTCCTGCCAGCCAATCACCGGGGCCTGAGAACAGGTGGGTACAACAGGGTCAAGCAGTGGCCATCAGCCAATCACAGAGCAGGATGATGTTTAATAACGCGGCAGCAAACGACCCTGGACTGGCAGCCCCCTGTCACAAAATGGTGGCCAAACCAAAATGGCGGCCCCTGTGTGTGCACTTCCGGGTGGGCTGTAGCCCTGGCCAAAGCGGAAGGGGGGGCCCGTCCCGCCCGCCAATCA